ACCTTCTTCTAGATGCCCTCCAATTGATTTCGCGTCTAGTCTGTGCAATGTGTTCCGCTACTTCTGATTTTTCGGTATCCATTTTCCTGCAGAGCCTTTGAAGTTCCTTTATTCGTATGCTCATTTTTCTTCCTGTTACGCCAATATATTTATTTTCCTAGATTCTAGCTTGATTACTAATTTATGCTTCACTTGAGTGGCATCAGCACAATTGAGACTTAGTAACTTGAATTTGGCCTACAATATCCAAGAATTAAACATATTGCACATTTTTTATTTATGCATATACAAGCATATATTGAGTTTGCCTTAAGATATCTCTAAAATGAGATACCGTGCAATTTAGTACACCTGTTATACTATGATCAGTTATTTAGGAGTTAGTATGAAAAAACGTATGGCCTTTAATTTTACTTTTTAGGTTCCATATAATAATCATGAAATAGGAATTTTGAATCTTTATTTTATATTAATACTACGCTTCTGATTGACTGTCTTCGAAAACCCATTTCGATTCGTTAATTTCATCTTACTCTAACAAACTTAAATTATATGCACCATATATTTCCATATTTAATCCATTTATTTGCACTTGTCTGTTTTCTATATGCATAGCTTTGCATTGAACCTCTCATATGACATCTTCATTAGCCTAATTGTATCCTTTTATGCTTACAGGAACGCAAGGTTCGTCGACCAATTGGTGGACTAGGTCGGCGTAAAGGGGATGAATTTATCCAGTCAAGCGATGACAGTGGTAGTAGTAATGAAGGTGATCAAGGAGTTGCTGCTAGAATTCGCAATGATCGAGACAACGGCAGTGATGTTGAGCGTGCTACTAAGGAGATTCATCGTTCGAAACACAAAAAAGGAGACTTAGGTGGCTCTAAGCGTCAGAGAGGGTCACACTTCAGTTCCCGAACTCTAAAACCAAAGAAATTGCGTTCCTCTGTTAATGAAGAAGGTCTTTCGGCCAAGCAACGACCACGGATCGTAAGCAAAGCTATAATCTCTGATTCAAGTGGCGATTCATCCAGTTCCTCAGAGGACGAGCTACGCGAGACTACGCGAAAGGCCATTGAATTGGCTAAGGCGTTAGATAGCGACAACTCGAACGAATCTGATGAGGAAGAACCCAGGCAAAACACCAGAAAAAGAACCACACATTCAGGCGATATGGCTGACTCCTCAGAACTATCCGATATTGAGGAACCAAGTCGTTTTTCTAAATCGCACGTTATCTCTTCCGCTCGCAAAAAATCTCGATCGAGTGGCCGTGAACGTGGCCAGAAAAAGTGGAGTAAACACTCTCGAATTCAGCATTCAGATTCTGAGTCCAGTTCGAATAGTAGGGCAGCAGACAGTAGCGATGAGACGTCATCACCCATTGCCAGACATGAGCGTTTAGCCCCAATCAAGAAACACGCTTTGTCCGAGAAACGTAAAGATAGCCCAGGTAATATTAGTCAGAATCGACGATTCGTAGATAAGGGCGTGAAGGATGGAAGAGCTGAAGTGGACGATGATGACGAGGACTCTGACAAAGATGGATCGGGTGCCTCAAAGCGAATGCGCTTGTTGGCCAGCAGCAGCAGCACAGGTGAAGAAGATGAGGAGGATGAGAATGAAGCCGTTGAACGGATGACGGCGCTCAGTTCGACTTCAAACTTTCATTCCACTAACAAGACTTCATCTAACATGAATGAGGAAAATGCAGGCTGTGAGCATCCTGGATCGACGGTTTCCAGCGGGCGTTCTATAGCTGCTGTGGCCGCCCCCACT